TTTGCAACCACTCGTGTGTTTTTACACGAGCAATTAAAAAATAAAAAAATAATAATAAAAAGGCCTACTCGTGTGGATTTACACGAGCACAGTGGATGCGCTCGTGTAAATTCACACGAGCAGGCCAACGTGTGATTTTTTTCGTTTTTTTTTTCCGGATTCGTAATCTACATAACAAGAGGATCGTAAAAACGTAAAAATTACCTCCGATCTGTTGACGATTTGCACGGGCTTTGCGAAAGAAAATCGAAAGGTTGAGAGAGTTTTTGAGTTTTTTTACTTTTTGTTTTTTGAAGAATGGTAAAAAATGTGCCTGAATGTTTAATTTTGGCCTGCACAAATCATTTCAGTTCATACAAAATTAAAAGGGTAAATTACAACCAATCCCTGAGGTATGGTAAAATTATGAAAAAAACCCCTCATGTATGGATAACTACAACTATCCCTCAATTATTAATATTCTTACATGTCCACCCTTATGGTGTCAAATTCAACATAATCTTCTAGATTACGTGGAATGTTCTCTAGTTTGTACTCGTTTTGTGCAAAACTACAGTTTCTTATGCACCACAATCTCTGATATATACAAGCCAAAGAAACACATCTTATGATCATCTTGTTTCAAAATGTGGAGATCGAATGGGATAAAACGGGTACAAAATTGAGAATATTCCATATAATCTAGAAGATTGCACTAAATTTGACACCACAATGGTAGACGTGTAAGAAGATTTATAGTTGAGAGGATGCTTGTAATTACACAAACATGAGGGGGGTTTCGTAATTTGACCACACCTCAGGGGATGGTTGTAATTTATGCAAATTAAAAACATATTTTAATTAAATTTTAGGGTAAATAGCACATAACTCCCTTAATTTGACCCTTTGGCACATAACCCCTCGTGGTATTAATATAAGCACATGATGCCCTTGTTGTTCTCAATTGGTAGCTTTCGTTAACTTTTTTTTTTATGAAAACTAACAACGAGTGCGGTTTGAGCACTCTAGAAAAGAGTGGTAGTTTATTTCTAATGGGCTCTTTCGGTTGAGTAATTTGGATAGATAAGTAGGGATGGGATATGTAATATTGAGATTAAAATGTCGATGAGTAAAAACAAACATTACTTTTGGTAAGTGGTATTGTTACTTGTATGCTAATCACTTGATGAACAATTTCATGTTTTGTTTTCTTGATTTTTGTGTCTTATTTGGGATTAGTTGCGAAATATCTAAAATACCCTTAAATAATATCCTATGATATGCACATCTTCGTCTTCTTTAGATCCCTAATTGCAAAACCCAACAAACCTACCAATTTCTCCCATAACCTTTAATTGACTATGTATAAAATTGCAAAAATAAATAGTTATGGCAGAGAAAAAACAAATCAAATATATAACTATATTAGACATTCTATTATCCCAATTATCAAGAAGTTAACTCCGGAGATTCCATTAATGAAGAAAATCATAGCATCAGAAATTACGTGGCATGTCCATATCTTCTTCTCTCTCTTTCCCCCTCTAGAAATCCTAATTGGAACACATTCAGCACACGATTTAAGACGAACTTTTACGGGTTTCTCGAATCGGAGTACCACGGCATCTCGAGTTTCAGCTGAATTTGATGGTTTGCTATCGCATAATCAAGTTCTGAATACTCACCACGTCTTAATTTGTTGGGTATCCGCCCGGAGAAGACAAACCACACAAAATCAAAATACTCATATTTTATTCGAAACAATTAAAATATAATATATAATAAATCAACTAAATCAATTAATTATAGCATATGACAGCAATTACCGAAAACAAAACAATTATGGGAATAAGGGTACAGGACTCTAATTATTACTTATATTATTTAAACCTAACAACAACTGCAAATCATAACAATTATAAAGACTACAAGAAAATCAGAATAATTGCAAAAAGTAGGAAACAAATAACACAAATAATAAGGAAAAACTAGAGTAATAAAGGGGAAAGAAGAACCACGGCGAATCACACAGATTCGTGGGAGGATGAATCTCTGCCGACGATTGAGGTTCCCGGCTCAGTCTCAATTCCCATCCGTCCTCGTCCAAGACTCACCAGCCGCAGCCACGCACCCACCGGAACAAGCCCAATACCCAAATCCCTCTCAGATTTCTAACCGGAAAAACCCGAAAAAGCCCCAAACACACAAAGGACCAAGAGTTCGAATAAATCAAACACACACAGCACTCAACCCAACACCCAAACACTCACAAAGAGTTGAGACTCACAAAGAGTCGAATCAGTCACGAAGAAAAGATTTACGAACAAGGTGTAACGTAGGTTGAATTTTCTTGGTCTCTCTTGGTCACTGTTCTCTCACGAAGAAGAGGTCTATTTAATAGCCCCCAAGAACCGACTTCAACGGAAGCCGAGGGATCGGGATACTGGTGTCACAGATTTCCGGCGGAGAAATCGGACCAGAAAAGAGGACAAAAAAGCAGAGAGCCGAATCAGTATATCGGTGGAGAGATTAATCGTTTTTCACGTTTTGACCCCTTAATTGGGTCAAGACCAATTCTCCACGTGGGCTTTTTCAAGTGTGGGCTTGCTCCAAGATGGGCCGGTTACATGCTGGTATTGGGCCACAGATGAAGAGATAACATTTGGGCCAAAATCCCAATAATCTCCACCTGGCCCAAATGAGTCATCGGGACATTTAAGGGGAAAAACGAGATCATCATTGCCGTAAGACACTACCTGCACTCAAAACACAAAGTTAGTACAAGTTTAAAAAACAAAACACAAAGTAATGCAAAAACCAAGCAAAACACAAAGTAATGCAAAAACCAAGCAAAACACAAAGTAATGCAAAAAACACAAGCAAAACACAAAGTAATGCAAATATTCTAACACATTAGAATACATCACCACCATCACAAATCATATTGGCTTGATCACTATGTTGGTTTTTCTTAGGCTTGGGACAATCACTAATAAAATGACTATGGTCACCGCAATTAAAGCACCTTCTATTATTAGGATTAGCCTTTGACTTACTCCAATCTCCACCATTTTTCTTAGTTTGATCAATTTGACTAGAAGAAGCCTTGTTGTTTTGAAAGCGATTAGACTGACTTCCTCTAATAAAATTAACCTCACCAAATGATTTATCCCTATTAATTCCCAATTCAAGCTCTTTGCTTTTTAAAGCATTGATCACAGTATCTAAAGTAATCTTATCTCTACCATACTTAATAGCAGACTTAACATCATTATAAACATCAGGAATAGCATTCAAGAGCACAATAGGGGTATAATCATCAATGTTCTTATCACCAGTTAATTTAATATCTTGAACTAACTTGGTAAAAACATCCATATTAGCATCAATATTTTTGCGAGAGTCCAATTTAAATCCAAAAAACTTTTCAAGCAAAAACATTTTATTGGGCAAAGAATTTTCAACATAAAGCTCTTCCAATTTATTCCATAAACTTCTAGCAGAATCATGCTTTCCTACTTTTCTAATCACAGAGTCACTTAGATTCAAGATAATAGCAGAATAAGCAAGTTCATCAAGTTCTTCACGTTTAGCAACAGTTATAAAAACTTCCTCACTTAAAGAAATCGCTTTAAAACATTTTTGATGAATTAAAATACCTTTCATTTTCTGTTGCCAAATAGAAAAATCACCCTTTCCATCGAAAGGAGCTAAAGATAACATAGACATAGATCCCATATTCAAGTATCACAAAGATAGCAAAATCACCAAGATTAAATATCAGCAGGATCAACACACAAGAGAATCACAAAGATTCAATAAACTTTAGCAAAATCGAATCACAAAGATTCACAATTTTAAAAAAAAAAATCACACAATTATAGAATCACAAAGATTCACAATTTCAGAGCAAAAACGGATCACAAAGATTCCAAATTTTTTTTTCAAATATCACAAAGATAAAGAATCACACAGATTCACACAAAATATTAGCGGAAGCAATAAATAAAAGAATCACCAAGATTCACCAATAACAGGTATAATTATCACAAAGAATAATCAACTCACCAAGAGTAGAGATTTATACCTGAGCGAAACCCCTGGACCAGGGTTTCGTACGCCGCTCCGGACGGACCCTTAACAACGCTCTGATATCACTGTTGGGTATCCGCCCGGAGAAGACAAACCACACAAAATCAAAATACTCATATTTTATTCGAAACAATTAAAATATAATATATAATAAATCAACTAAATCAATTAATTATAGCATATGACAGCAATTACCGAAAACAAAACAATTATGGGAATAAGGGTACAGGACTCTAATTATTACTTATATTATTTAAACCTAACAACAACTGCAAATCATAACAATTATAAAGACTACAAGAAAATCAGAATAATTGCAAAAAGTAGGAAACAAATAACACAAATAATAAGGAAAAACTAGAGTAATAAAGGGGAAAGAAGAACCACGGCGAATCACACAGATTCGTGGGAGGATGAATCTCTGCCGACGATTGAGGTTCCCGGCTCAGTCTCAATTCCCATCCGTCCTCGTCCAAGACTCACCAGCCGCAGCCACGCACCCACCGGAACAAGCCCAATACCCAAATCCCTCTCAGATTTCTAACCGGAAAAACCCGAAAAAGCCCCAAACACACAAAGGACCAAGAGTTCGAATAAATCAAACACACACAGCACTCAACCCAACACCCAAACACTCACAAAGAGTTGAGACTCACAAAGAGTCGAATCAGTCACGAAGAAAAGATTTACGAACAAGGTGTAACGTAGGTTGAATTTTCTTGGTCTCTCTTGGTCACTGTTCTCTCACGAAGAAGAGGTCTATTTAATAGCCCCCAAGAACCGACTTCAACGGAAGCCGAGGGATCGGGATACTGGTGTCACAGATTTCCGGCGGAGAAATCGGACCAGAAAAGAGGACAAAAAAGCAGAGAGCCGAATCAGTATATCGGTGGAGAGATTAATCGTTTTTCACGTTTTGACCCCTTAATTGGGTCAAGACCAATTCTCCACGTGGGCTTTTTCAAGTGTGGGCTTGCTCCAAGATGGGCCGGTTACATGCTGGTATTGGGCCACAGATGAAGAGATAACATTTGGGCCAAAATCCCAATATAATCGCATAAGATTATTCGAATCGTTAATGGAGGGCTCTTCAAGGACGTCTTTTAGCCGCTACAAAGGACGGTCGGGAGTCGTGGGAGGTTGCTAATGTGAACGCCAGTTCCCACCTTCCAAAATTAGGGCTCAGCAGTGAAGACAAAGTTGAGAAGAAAAACGACTATTTATATGTAATAAATTTGTAATTGTTGTATGTTTGCACGAGATTTTTGACATTTCAGTACGTATCATATTGTGGGAGTATTTCGGTGATAAATTATCAAGCCAAGTTTGCCTTGACAACTAATAATTCAATTGGGGGATAGAAGTGGTGGAGCCATTTATAAAGGTTTGGGAAAACATCCAAACCAAATGTTGTACTAACATGTAGTACTATTTATCCCATTAAGGCTAATAATACCAACCAAAAGAGGCCAGTGTGTAAACGTTACGTTTTAAAAACCCATAACCATTAAGATTTTGAAATAAGATTTTTCGTACGAGGGATCTTACAGTATCAAATGTAGTCCTTACTTAATTCTTGTTCAAAATACCCAAAAGAAAACTAGCTAGGGCATAAAGCAAAATACAATATTCTTCGTCCATGATGACGTCTATACCTGCATATCCAGGATTCCTTCTAGATGCACAATCAATAATAAGTTTGGGTCAATTTCTGGGTGGTGTTATCCATCTTAATTTGTGCATCTGTTTAGTATAACTAGACGCGCGTGTGTATAAATTACACTCAATTATTGGTTGAATTTTTGTGTGATTATCATATTATAAATGCATTGATATGTTATTTAAATTGACTATATAGCAAAAGGAGAAGAATTTGGGATTTAGAATGCAAGGAAATGAAATGACGGAAAAAGTTGAGAGATCGGACGAAAAAACATCGCTACATTATTATGGAACCCCTTTCTGAAAATTGTGAAGGAATCTGAGATCCCAATCTGTGAAGAGAAGAAAAGAAAGCTGACATTCTGTTGCCTCGGACCGCAGTCCCACTTTGTAGTACAATTTCTCATACCGCTGTCCGAGAAGTTGTTTTTGCGAAAAAAATCTGAAAACTTGGAAACTTGGGCCATAAGTCGAGGTATAAAAAAAAGTTTTCCAAGGGAAAATAGGAGATCATTTTGGGCCTTTGGCACAAAAATTTAGAGAGAACTTGGAGAAAGAAGAGCAAGAAGACTTGACGAATCTTCATCATAGTGCCACTTTCATCTTTCTTTTCCGAACCTATGTATTTTTATTATTTTTCTTTGAACAACACGAGTAGCTAAATTCGTAATCTAGTATTTCTTTAGAACCTTATATGGAATTTGTTGGATTAAATTTATCAATTATGCAAGTTTTTTGAGTTATTTATTTCTTCACCTTGAACGTATCAATTTATGATTCATTTTATTGAAATGATTGATGAATTGCTTTAATTATTTAGAATTATGGGCAGAAGAGTTCTCTGGTTAATTGCAACTATTTAAATGTTCTTGGCATGAATATTGGATAGAAATATACATTTAATCCTTCAGCAGCCATAATCGGGATTTCTTATTATTGCCGCATGTTTTAATCGATTTGCATGTTAGGATTATAATTAATTGCAAAAGTTGTTTACAATTAATAGAGTATTCTGGGTTTGTAAATTAGTTCATTAGCTTGCAGGGGTTTTATTTCAAACAAATACACATAGAGAGAAGACGCGAGTTCCTAAGCTTTTTCCGTTTGATCAAATCCTCTGTTATTTATTTTTTGTTTTTTATTTATTTTTCATAGTCGTATAATTAATAAATTAAAAATCCAATTTTGTTGCTTGGATAAAGATAAGAAGTGATAATATAGGTATTTAGAAGTAGAAATATAACTTGCTCTATGTGGGTATAATATCCCGACTCTCAGGAGTGCAATTTATTATTTATTGACGATATGTGCACTTATGTATGTAAAAAATCACCAAGAGTTCATTTAGTTGGTCATTCTCCAAATATGATTAATGGAAGGGCACTTCTCAAATAAGGCCATGGGACGTTACATATTTCCAAATATGTCCACACTCTAAAATATCTTCTACAAAAAATGACGTCAATCCTGTCAAAGACTAAAATATCCGTTAACATCTAATTAACTCTAATTTTATCCAAAACCCTGATTTAATCAATATTTTATATTGACCTCAATTTTAACAAATATTATATATTGACACAATGTTTACCAAATTTTGACCCGTCGCCCCCACCACCACCGCGACCGCCCCCCACCGTCGATGCCGCTCCGACCATCCTCTATAGCACTAATAAAGAGAACCTTATAAAAAAATGATGCTACGACTAGGAATAGAACCCAAGATCTTGTGGATAATAAAGATCTACGGTAACATTATTTTCAAAGTAACATATTTCAAAATAAAATATATATTTTTCTTTCTTTTCGGTTAGATTACTGTATTGACCTGCTATTTTTTAGTTGACCATAATATAATAACTTTATTTTACTGTTGGCCACAATATAAGAGCACCTTCAACCCACAAATATCAAAATGAATTATCAAAAATTTATTTAATATTTTATATTTTAGTTTGATATCTAAATAAATTTATTTACTCCAACCATAAATATCAAATAGTTACTAATTAAAAAGAAACATACTAAGAAGATTGTAAGGAAAGAAAAAAGGGTTAATGGTACATGGCTGACCGTAGTCAACACAATAACATTGTGAAACTGAAGGGAAAAAAAAAAAAACAAAACGAAAATGAAAAACGAAATTATTGTTACTATGTTGACCGCGGTCAACACAATAGCATTATAAATAAGGTCCTGTTGAAAAAAAAAAGGTTATTGCTATTATAAAAATCTGCAAAACAAATCTATAAAAATATCTATTAGTTGTTCTTCTGTATATTACTATTTTATTGAATACATGTTTATTATTTATGATGCATGGAGACTTTTGATCACACGTGTTTCTGCATTTCGAAAACGCTTGGGAAATCGAAACGCAATGACACAGGTCGAAAACTTAGTTTTCGGAGTCATTTCTATAAATATTTAAAAGTTTTAGGGATGTTTTTGGTAATAATGAAAATGTAGAAACGCGTTTCCACCCAAAATAATACAAAACAAGTTTAAAATAAAAACTAGGAATTGCATGTCCTTGAAAAAAAATCTTAAATATGATGTCTCTTTGTTCATTTCAAGTAGTGTTTTAATATTTTTTGTTAGATGCTAATTCTGTACTAAAATAAATTTATATGCTCCGTGTGTAATTTGTGGAATGATAATTCAAATTGAAATTTGTAAATTATGTGTAACTTATTTATACAAATATGTAATTGACGATAAGTATATAAGTTAAACATTATAATATTTAAAAAAAATTATGGATGTACCCATAATTTTTAATATCAACACGCTTCTCCATGTTTCCGTATCCAACTTTTTGAAAAATAGAGTTTTCCCGTTTCGGTTTACCCGTTTCAGGTGTCCATGCTACATAATTTATTAGTGTTTAACTTGTAATATAATTATATATCTATCATACGAAATGTACATAAATATTGTGAACCAGTACTCCTTCAAAATTTAAATAGATCAAGTAAAAAAAAAAAAAAAAAAAAGTTTTTTGTGCATAAGTCCCCAACCAATCATCTTTATTATTCTAGGTTTAGGGGTTATATCTCTTTCACCAATAAGCCCATCCTTTTAATATTTATTATAAATAAAGGAAACATTCATGCATATGACAATATTACCCCTAACCCTTTATACTTAGTTTCTAATTGTAACCCCAATTTAATCAATTTTGTACACAAAAATCCAATTTTGACCACAAAAATCCAATTTTGACCACAAAAATCCAATTTTGACCACAAAAATCTAATTTTGACTTTTTTTTTAGAAATTTTTTTGCTGCCGGATTTTGGCGTTGACTGTTCAAATTTTTTTTTTTCCAGATTTTTTCGTCGGACTTCGGCGTTAACTTTTTTTTTTTCGCCGCCGGATTCCAGCGTTGACTTTTTTTAGTGTTTTTTTTTACGTCCGCCGCTAAATGTTGACCGTAATTGTGCTGTCACTGACAGTAAATTAACGTAATTATACTGTCAATGACAGTTAATTAACGTAATTGTACTGCCGTTGACAATACGTTTATGTAATTGTTCTGCCGTTGACATTAAATTAACGTAATATTATTATTTTTATTTTTTGTTATTTATTTTTATTTTGTTTGATTTGTTGACAAGTCAACGTAATTATGTTACTGTCGTTGACAGTAAAATAACTGTAAACACAATAATATTACTGTCAACAACATCAATATTATTATTTTTTTGGGTTTTTAGTTTTGTTTGAGTTATTCACGTACGGAGTAACGTAATAATATTACTGTCTATTATTGTAATATTACTGTAAACACAATAATATTACTGTGGTTGACGGTAATATTACTGCTGTTATAGTAATATTGTTGTCAACCACATCAATATTATTATTTTGTTTGGATTTTTTTGTTTGTTTGAGTTAGTCACGGAGTAACGTAATAATATTACTGTCTATTATTGTAATATTACTGTGGTTGACAGTAATATTACTGTTGTTATAGTAATATTACTGTCACTCACAGTAATATTAATTCTTTTGGCTTTTTATTATGTTTATATTTGTTGAACGGCCAACATAGTAATATTACTCTATTACACAATAATAATGAATTTTGTTGTGTTAATATTACTATGCTAGAAATTAATATAACAATATTATTGTGTTAAATTGTAGTATAGTTAATTTTACTGTGTGTAACAGTAATATAAGTTAATATTACTGTCAATCACAGCAATATTGCTGTTTAAACGAAGAAAATAAATGTTACAGAAAAAAAAAGTCAACGCCGGAAACCGGTCAAAAAATCCGGAAGAAAAAAAATTGAAAAGTCAACATCCGGAGATCGGCGTTGACCGCCGCCGGTCAACGCCGGAATCCAGCGGCAAAAAAATAAATTTGAATTTTTTTTTTAAAGAAAAAAAAGTTTTGGGTCAAAATTGAATAAGTTGTGAAATTTGGGCAAATTGAGGTTAATTTAAATTAATGATGAAATTGAAGCAAGGGGCTATTTTAATCTTTTACAAAAATCTGCAGCATGTGTGGACTTATTTGTAAATGAATTTTTTATCTGGATCTCTTTATGAATAAGTATATAGTCTTATTTGTAAAGACCCCAAATAAAAAAGAAAAGATTAATTATGAAACACAATAAGACCTATTCCATAAGAATATGACTCTAAAGAAAGGCAAAATCAAGTAAAATTTCAGCTATTATGCAATTATTAAGATCTCGATAGAGAGTATCTAGTACAGTGTAAATTAATAGGAGGCCTAATTCCATCAAAATAGTATTCTTTTTCCACCCCAGAATCCCCAAGGCCCAATGTACGCCTCCAAACCAAAGACACAGCAAAACCCTAATTAGGGTTTTTGTTCAACTTCAATAGAAATTACCTATTATAAATTTCCGACACCTTTATATATATATATATATATTTTGTAAGTAACTAATAAGTATAACCCTCTTTCTCTCTGTTTTCACTCTAAAGAAAAGAATAGGCGAAACCAAATATGTCTAGGAAGAGGCCTATAGATATCAAAGAAGAGCTTGGTGGTGAGATTCTTGAAACATCAACTCTTATTTTATTTTATTTTTTTGTTAATTAATAACTTTATGTGTTTTGAGATTTTACGTGTTTGATTATTAAGCAGATGGGGGATCAACGATGGAGCGTGTTTGCAGAAGTTGTAAGAAGAATATTGTCGAGATAGACGACGGCGATGATGAGTTTTTAATGATTAAGGCAGAACACAATATCCACGACATTGCCAAATTTCAGATACGTCCATCTGCAGGGATAGACAAGCTTATTGAAGAAGTGGCTAAGAGACTTAGTTTTAGACTTGGAAGTTTTAAATTGAAGTATGAGGATGAAGATTTAGACGAGGTCTTGTTAGCCTGCGATGATGATTTGCGTCTTTGTGCCAAGAATTTTGGAAAAATGGGCAAATCTTTTCTCCGGGTCTTTGTCGATCGAAAATAAGCCAAAAGATTTGATACTATGAACAACTGTTTGATTTTTCCTTTTTTTTTTTTTTTTTTTAATTATCGTAAAGTTATTTTAATTTACTCGTACATATTTTGCATGTTTTGAATCGAGGATACATACACTATCTACGTAGTTTTCGTTATATGATATTTATTACAATCTCTGATGTTGGTAATGATTTTCATTTGTTTCTAACATTAACCAGTTTGTAAGTTGCAACGTCTTTTTATATAATTACTGAATTTAATTAGACCAAAGTTGGTGATAGTCATGTTTAGTCCAAAAAACTAATTAGCATGCATATCACAAATATATCAACAACCATTGATTATTAGTGAATTGAATTCCGGGAAATTGTTGTACTTATTGAGGTGTGGTAGGGGTTGAGTTCGGAGGCAATGGTGATCAATGAGTGCTGAGTGCCGATTGGTGCTAATGTAACTTGTGGCCTTGTCGGTGACCAGCTTGTCAATGCGATATGTATTTTTTACGAGAGAAGAGAGATGGTGTAGTGATCGGAGATCAGATGAAAAAAACCCGATATGTATTTTTTACGAGAGAAGAGAGATGGTGTAGTGATCGGAGATCAGATGAAAAAAACCCGATGGAAGTTTGATATAGTTGGTGACTGTGTTTTGTATATTGGAATTATGAGAAGTAAACGGATATTTTGTCTACCAAATATTAATCTCTGACTAAATTTTTCGTGAGGCTTAAATTTTTCAAGCATGAGAGCAAAATGCTTGAAAGCAAAATATATTAGTCGACCATCGTCAGTCGATCGATATCAAAGAGTTCATGGAAAAAAGTAGTCGACCCCGTTAGTCATCTAAATATTAGTCGACTAAATATTAATTGCTAATAATTGTTGTAATAAATTGAATTAACGTGAATTCAATATTGGAATTAGTGGCAATTCAATATTAGAAGTGGACATTCATGTTAGAAGAAGTGGGCATTCATGTTGGAATAAATGGATATTTGAAGCACCATTGTCTATACACACAATTGTCTTTTGATTTTCCTAAGTATTAAATTAGAATTAAAAGAGTTGTTAGTCTATGAGTTATTTTGTAATTTATTAGTAGATTAATGTACTCCTCACTATAAATATGGAGTGCTAGAGATCATTGTAAGTAAGACAAAAAAAACAAAAAGAGAAGTAATTTTTCCATCCACAAAACACTTGTATTTTACTTTCTCTACTCAAAAATATTAATTTTTTTTTAAGTCTTCACAAAATCACTAAAATCCGAATTCGGGATTAATCATCCTATCCTGGTGCCTAAAAATTGGCATCAGAGCCATCTTAAAAATGTCCACCAACCTTGCTTCTCTTATACCTCGTTTCAATGGAGAAAAATTCGATTATTGGAGTAATCTTATGAAGCTTTGTCTTGAATCTCAAGACATTTGGAGCGTTGTTGAAGACGGTGTTCAGACTCCCGAAAATGAGGATAATTGACGAATGCACAAAGACAAACTTTGAGAACCGAAAGGCAAAAAGATTGAAAAGCTCTTTTCCAAATATATCAAGCCATCGAAGTTCCCGTCTATGAAAGACTAACCAAGGCGAGTAGTTCCATGGAGACATGGAAAATTCTACAAACAACCTATGCCGGGAAAAATGAAGTGAAGAAGGTTCGTTTGCAATCTTTGAGGGCTGAATTCGAAAAATTGGAGATGAAAGAAAACGAAAAAATTGTTGAATATTTTACAAGAATCACCTCTCTTGTAAATAAAATGGCGACAAATGGCGAAGTCATGGAAACCCAAAGGGTTGTCGAAAAAATTATGCGAAGCTTGCCGGTGAAATTTGATCATGTTGTTGTGGCTATCGAAGAGTCACAAGATCTCTCATCAATGGCGTTGGAGAGTCTACAAGGATGATTGGAGGCACACGAAGCAAGGATCCTTCAAAGAAATCCTCAAATTTCTTCTTCGGATCAAGCATTAAAATCCCAAGTTACATTCACGGGAGGCCGTGGCTCGTTCCGTGGACGTGGCCGAGGTCGTGGCCAAATAAGAGGAGGAAGAAACTCTTACAACAATTACCGTGAACAAGCCAAATCAAATGAAGAGGCGAAAGAGGAGGAGAAATATTTTCCAAACAATTTTCAAAGAGGAAGAGGCCAAGGCCGAGGATCATATAAATGTACAAGGCCTTACGTTGAGTGTCATTATTGTCATAAACCGGAACACAAAATCAATCACTGTTGGTAAAAATATCTAGAAAAAAGGCACGAAGTTGGTTATTTGCATGAAAATAAAGTCGAAAATATGGAGACTTTATTGATTGCATCTAACGGTAGCTTTGAAAATACTTGGTATTTGGATAGTGGTGCGAGCAAGCACATGACGGGGAATAAAAAAATATTCTCAAATCTCGTCGAAGCTAGCCATGGGATAGTTACGCTTGGAGATGGATACACCTACGCATTAGAAGGTGTTGGAGAAATTGTCTTCAAAACAAAATCCGGAAAAGTCGAAACAATGTCCGAGGTTTACTATGTACCTAACTTGGCAAGTAATTTGCTAAGTGTTGGTCACTTGATGAGGAAAGGTTTCAACATATTTTTCGACGACTTCACTTGCGTTTTGAAAAAGAAGGATCAACACATTGCAAATATCGGTATGACCGGAAATAATATTTTTCGCGATCAAACTTGATAATTTTGAAGCCTCTTGCTATTTAATTGTGAAGGACGATGTTTCAAAGTTGTGGCATGACCGATTCGGGCATCTTAATTTCCAAAGTTTGAAGGAGTTATCAAACAAGCAAATTGTTGAAGGATTGCAGAACATTAAAGCCATGGACGAAATTTGTGAAGAATGCCAATTGAGGAAGCAACACCAAGAGCCATTACCTTCCAAGTCAAATTGGAAATCAAAGTCACCATTGGAGCTCATTCATAGTGACCTTTGTGGACCATTTCAAGTTCCCTCTCTCGGTGGTAATCGTTATTGTTGATTTTAAATGCCTATAGAAATCTACTCATCTGTTGAGACAGATTACGTGTTACGACATTAGGTGTCATAACAGAATTCTTGTGTTGTCACAGTAATAAATCTACTAAAAGCAGAATAAAGAACACAACAATTTAATGTGGTTCGGATACAAACGTACCCTACATCCACGAGGACTTGCAAAACTAGTTCAGATTTAAGTGTACATTAATAGGACTGAATAAAAACACTAAAGACTCCCTCTTTATGTAATATGCCGTTCTTGCACACGACTCGAACTTGTTGATAATCAAAGCAATTCCTCCTCCGCACTCTTGGACTTCCTCCAATGTTGAACTTCATTCAAACGGCGGATCGACCTCTCCCGAGATCTTTTAAGCACTTCTCCCGAAACGCCGATATTCTTTATGGCCTGGTAGAAGAAACCTGTTATGTTGCCACACCTGATGTGCCGACAGGGCTGCAGCACGGGCTGCACCCTTCAAAGCCTTTATGCTGTGATTTTTCTTATTAAAGCTCCATGGGACTCATATGAGGTTGAGGGCCTTATATAGGCACTAAATCACCACCCTAAACCTAAGTTGGGCCCTAAGAAATCGATTTAACTAGGTATAATAGAATCCTAGTCGGTTTCTACTTCTATTCTAGATAAGTACAAAAGATACCTAACTAGAATATAACACATGGAAATAAATCTAAGTCCTAATAAAAATATTACAAGAATAGGACTCTAATTAATTCCAAAATAAACATGAAAAACAAATCTTTGCCAATCTTTAATTTCCACGTATGGCGGATTTCTTCAATCTTCACTAACAAAAATCTGGCGCCAACAATCTCCCCCTTTGGCATAGTTTGGTTAGAATTCATGTTTACCAAGAACTCCCCATGCCTATGAGATTTACTCCCCCTGCAACATAGATGTCACTTTTCTTCACCCATCCTTGTCTTCTATCAGAGTGTCCCATCACAAGGCATGTTACAACGCTGGGACAGGGCATGTTACAACGCAGCGGAATTGGGTGAATGTCGTGACAGACTTCCGTCTCAATCTTCTTTGTGAACACGTCATCCAATAAGCAAAGCAAATAAATCAAAACCCAAAATCAGACATTAAGTATATCTAGTGACCCGCTCTGATACCAATTGTTGATTTTAAATGCCTATAGAAATCTACTCATCTGTTGAGACAGATTACGTGTTACGACATTAGGTGTCGTAACAGAATTCTTGTGTTGTCACAGTAATAAATCTACTAAAAGCATAATAAAGAACACAACAATTTAATGTGGTTCGGATACAAACGTACCCTACATCCACGAGGACTTGCAAAACTAGTTCAGATTTAAGTGTACTTAATAGGACTTAATATAAACACTAAAGACTCCCTCTTTATGTAATATGCCATTCTTGCACACGACTCGAACTTGTTGATAATCAAAGAAATTCCTCCTCCGCACTCTTGGACTTCCTCCAATGTTGAACTTCCTTCAAACGACGGATCGACCTCTCCCGAGATCTTTTAAGCACTTCTCCCGAAACGCCGATCTTCTTTATGGCCTGGTAGAAGAAACCTGTTCTGTTGCCACACCTGATGTGCCGACAGGGCTGCAGCACGGGCTGCACCCTTCAAAGCCTTTATGCTGGGATGTTTCTTATTAAAGCTCCATGGGACTCATATGAGGTTGAGGGCCTTATATAGGCACGAAATCACCACCCTAAACCTAACTTGGGCCCTAAGAAATCGATTTAACTAGGTAATAGAATCCTAGTCGATTTCTACTTCTATTCTAGATAAGTACAAAAGATACCTAACTAGAGTATAATACATGGAAATAAATCTAAGTCCTAATAAAAATATTACAAGAATAGAACTCTAATTAATTCCAAAATAAACATGAAAAACAAATCTTTGCTAATGTTTAATTTCCACGTATGGCGGATTTCTTCAATCTTCACTAACAGAAATCTGGCGCCAATAGGTATTTCTTGTTATTTATTGATGATTTCACAAGAAAAGTTTGGGCTTATTTTGTGAAAGAAAAATCCGAAACTCTTTCATGC